CTTACTCTGACTGATAGCTCAAATAGTTACATTTAACCCACAATTGGATTTTTAATCCAACGATCTCCCACTTGGGTAAGTGTACACTGAATAACCTTATGAGCTCATGAAAATTTAAAGCGGATTCTTTAATGTATATTATCAATTTTATCTATAAGTCACATCAGTACGGATCAAAGCGGCCGTCACTGCATTTATCGCAATGGGACCGAACAGTGGTCACAATACTAATATAATCTAAGATTCGATCAAGTGATGATGCACAACATGGAAATTTCTTGTAATGTGATCTTAACATACTTATTTCCAACTGATCTACTTTAACTTTAATTCAGAATAACTGAATACTGAATTAAAGTTAAATACTGAACAGTGCATACTGAATACTACAGTACAAAATAAAGTAACCTTAGTGTATTTGAACATTACTAATTAGCTCCCACTAAACCAAAGTATGAAAATATGGTTCCACTCTCAAACGAGCAACATGTTCACTGTAGAACTTAAGTGAAAACCCTTTATTAACTAAGTGGATCCGCAATCATGGAAGCTATATGAAATGTTCAATAAATAATTTATGATATGAAGTCAAACTATTAAGTAAATAATTATTATTATTATCAAATGATGCACTAGTTCCAATCAATTTTGAATTCTGGAATAGACAAAACTCTATATCCGAATGAATAATAATAACTGAATTTGTTCAAAATAGAGATCGAAATTAAATTTTGTCTAAAGATGTTACCAAAAAATGTCTCATCCAAATCCAAATAGTAACCAGTACTCAGTAATAATCTAAAATTGTCAATGAATTCAACTTGAACTTTCGTGTCGTCACCCGTATAAATGTATCTTTCAACATCAATTGATTTTGACAATAAAATAATATTGCATAGACACACTGATGTGTGTTGTTACACCAAAATCCACCCTTAGGTGTGTCTATGAACTGAAATTAAATTAATTTCAAGAGAAAGACTAATAGGATAAACATGTCCTCCGAAAAGTCTAACTTAAGTGCCCTCAATTTAGTAGCAATATTAGACATATTCAGGATGTACTCCCTTATGTTTCCTTTGTCGTTGTACTTCATGGTAATGAGACTCTTAAGAAGAATACTCATTTTTCGCTTTATCGCTTTTGGTAAAACGTTTCTTAATTTCGAGAAGAAATCCATATCATTATATATTGTACTCCTAAAATTTATGGAGTGCTTTTCTTAATGATCATCAGACTTAGGCATTGGAGCTATCCCACTTCTCGAACAACTAATTTTCATATGCAGTGTTTTTCACCATATGAGTGGGTTGGTCTATTCTTAATGCCAAATCAAGATTCATGCAACCAAATGAATCATAATGAAGCTCAATAATAATGAATTCTTATCCCAAGACACTAAGTGTAACATCAATGATCAATCTTTGGATCAATAACATTGATTGCTAGCAATCATCTTGTTGCAATAATCATATACGGACAATAAGTAATGTCAAACATCAACCAATCTTTGGACTGATTTACTATTCACATAAGTTAAATCCATATAATCGTCCATACATATTATCGCAGATGTATATTTTATTTTGTCGCCTTTGGGCCGAAAAATAATCACATGAATTAAATACACATATAAACACTTATCATCAAGTAAAAGTTTCATATAAAAGATGTTACTTTGGCAACGTCAAATACTTGTTTTTCACCGTCAAAACGTAGCATGCATTATTAATGAATATATAATTTTCTTAAACTAAATTACAATAAAAATCACGTTCAATGTATACGAATCTGATTCCATAAAAAATAAAGAATGTTTATTAGCAACTGAATGCATATGTCTATAAGCAATTGAATGTTCCATATGTGAATTTATAAAATAAACTAGCAATTATATCATAAGTTATGAAGCAACATCAGCAATTGTCTTTGGACAAATTACTGACTCACTAGTGGTAAATTTGTTTTGACAATCGAATGTTGACAATAAAGTAGTGTGTTAAACAACACCCTATCATTGGAGAGATCTATTATTCACACACAAATAACCAAATAATCATCACCACATTCAATGCCACCAAACATGCATGTAACTATTTAATTGATGAGTTGTCTTTGGGTCAATCAGCAGCCTTATCAGTCACACACAACTTTCTAATACATAAAATAAACTGATTTACACAGCAGAGGCTGCTTTGACAACATAACTGTTTCAATCAATTCATAAAATATATTATATTATTTATTGCTAATTAACTTCACCTTAAATAAATATGTATATCCAATATATATGAAAGCTATAACAACATCAATTAATTTATGGACTTATTAAAATAATTAAATAGTCCAGAAAATACTAAATGCAACGGAATTACATATAAAATATGTCACCTAAAGAGACTATAAATTAATATAATGAATATTTATAGTCGAATTTGCACAAATACATATTGTCAAAATTAAATGTTGTCGTATCCCAAATTTAATTGAAAATTAAAATAGTTCATAATGAATCTAATTTTATAGAAAATCAGCCCTAATGAATAATAAATAAATTCTGCACGTATTAAATTTAATTTCAGATACATAAACATACGCACATTAATTAATAAACTCCGCAATCATCAAATCGGATGCATATATAAATTGGACGTCAATTTCGACCCATCCGATTGATTAAATAATAAATTAATCTAATCATAATGCCAAAATCGGTGCAAATATTAAGACATATTTATTGATTCCAGAATAAACGAATAAAAATAACCAAATATCCAAATGTTATTTTATTTAAATTGCACTCATATTTATATTGGTTGCATCTATTAATTGAACCAATCAAATAAATAAAATATATTCTTGAGTATCAATAAAATAGCTATCTATTAGACATCAATTGATTGAAAATAATAATAATAATAATAATAATAATAAATAAATAAATATCTCACTTAACTGCATATGTCAATTTTTCTTAGCATGTCAATAGTACAAAGATGGCATATTGATTTGATAAGTTAATAATTACATACATAATAATATAGACGTGTACGGATTGGCTTACATGCAATTTATATTGCAAGATAGAGACAGGATTACATATTTATTCAAATAATCGCTTCCAATAAAATTATGAATAAACAATAATGGAATTATTCACCGATAAAGGCTGATTCCATTAGCTTCTTAATCTCATTCCATAATGACAAATACCATGATTCCATATTAATTTTGGCATTATTCCATTAATTATTTCAATAAACATGCATGATTATTTTGTTGAAATAGATATATAAACAAATGGCGTGGAGAACCTAAGGGAGCGTTTGGTATGGAGAATGGAATTGTAGAGAAATGAGAGTAGAGAATGTAATTAGAGAGAAATAGAATTGAGTAAAGAATGAGAATTAATTCTCTTATTTGATAAAACAAAAAATTCAGTTGAAAAATATAAAAAAAAAATGCATATATATGAATGATCAAACAAGAATAAATGATTAACCGGATAAAAAGAAAGCTTTAACGAATTGAGAATTTATGAAAAATATTTTTGATAATTTTTTTTAAAAAAAAATTATAAATTATATACGATGTTTTTAAAGATTATATTTTAGTACAATAAAATTAAATACTTTAAAAATAAATTAAGTTTGTAAAATTGAAATAATATAATTTTAAAAAAATTATAAAAATTAAATAGTATAAAAAAAATTAAAAAAATAAAAAAAGATATATACTAAAACGTCGTTTCTCTCAATTTCTCGTGTATGGGAGAGAAATGAAAATAGAGAAATTGAAATGATTTATTTCTTAAGTTTCATTTCTCTGGCTCAAACAAAGAAGAGAAATAATACCATTTTCATTTATATTTCTATGTACCAAACACAACCTAAGTTTACAATGTCACGTGTTGTTCCAATATATATATACTAGTGGAAAACCAGTGCGATGCACAACATTTTTATATTTTATTTTTTTGTTCATCAAATATTTTTATATATTTTTTTATTTTTTCGTTAAATTTTTATTAAAAGAACACATCTATTATGTAATCAGTTGTTATGTAATTAATATATATATATAATAGCAAATTTAATTTTTAAAATCAAATTTATTATTTAATTTTAAATTAAATAGATAAGTATTCTACATATACATCATAGTATCATATTTTTAATAATTTTATCAACTTTTATATTTATAAAATATTTATTGATTGTGTTAATTATAATTTGTTAAATATGTTAGTTATGGTGTATTAATTATGAATATTTAATATAAATTTATTTTAATAAAAATATCAAAAATATAAAAATATAAAAAAAAAACTGTATAGATTTATTGAAAATTTATATATACACAAATATATGTAAATAAAATTATAAGAACTCCATTAAATCATCAATTTTATTGTAACGTTATTATTAAATAGAAATTAATATAGAAATTATTTAAAGAGCAAATAATAGAAAAATATCTATAATATACAAAAAAAAAAGAGTTATACTATTAAATTATTTATACAAAGTACAAAACAATAACAAAATAAGATATTATAAATAATTATACTTTTAAACTATTGTATTATCTTTGGATTAGATACAATCCCAATATTTTGGAACTTCAATGAACTAAAATGAAGGAAAAAAAATTGTATGTGGTAGCTAAAAAGAGAGAAACGTTATCCAAAAATTGAGGAAAAACTCACAGAAAAAAGATTTTCTAAAAAATAAGAGAATTACAGAATAAATGAGATTAAAGTATGACTAAAATGGATAAAAAAACTGATCTTGTCGTGTGGGGGCAATCTGGATAACACAAAAATATAATTAATATTGCAAATAAAAATAAATCCATTTTTAATTTTAATTTTATTATTAAATATAAACTAATATATGAAATACCTAAAAATAAATAATACAAAAATATCTGTAAACACAAAATTATATGAAATTATTTATATACGGTACAAAATAAAAATAAAATAAAATAGTATAAGTAAATTATACGTTAATACAACGCATCATCTTCAGATTAGGTGGCGCCACAATATTTTGGAACTCCGATTGTTAAAATGCAGGGAAATAAACAACTATATTGGGTGGCTGAAGGAAAATAAAAACGTTATTTAAACATTACCGGAAAAATGAAGAAAATTGAGATGATGAAAGGATGAGAGGTGATGCGTGATTGAAATGAGGGTGAAGATATGGTCTTTTATATACATTCAAATGATGGTTGTCATAAAATTCGTCATTAATGTCGACATTAATTAATTGTAATTGACGTCTTTAATATTTGGTAAAATATTAATTAAATCAATTATTTTATCGGACAATTGGGCAAAAATCCCTCTATCCATTTATCAATTGGGATTCAGTCCCTAATGATAAAAAATTGGTCTGCACTCCCCCATTTTTCCTTCTTCCTTCTTTTTCCTCCCTACTCGTATTTTTCTTCATTCTGTTTCTCTTCGCGCAAAAAATTCTTCTCAATCCGTTGTCCTCTTCCGTGAGCTCGAAAGCCACATCCCGCACAGGTAAGGTTCTTAATTGTTCGCCCGATTTTACATCGCCGCTTCTTGTCTGGTTCGATTGAAAAATTTCCTAGGGCACTCTCCGAATCCTGTTCCGGTTCCCTGTCGTCGGCGGTCGGTTGATTCGGTCGAAGAACTACCGAAGGCTGTCACCGGTTCCCTGGCCCGTATTTCTTGTTCTCCGGTGAAATTAGATGTACCAGGTGTGTTTTTGTGTCAGTTGATTCGGTCGAAGAACTACCGAAGGCTGTCACCGGTTCCCTGGCCTGTCTTTCTTGTTCTCCGGCGAAATTAGATGTACCAGGTGTGTTTTTGTATCGATATCTTAATTGGAAAATTATTATTTGGAAGAAAATGTTTGGGTATTATTTTGGGTGATTTTGATAATAAATTTTGTTGCTATTTAGGGTTTAAGGGTAATATTTATTTTGTGAAATGGGTAATTTGTTGCTATTGAGGATCAAGACATTACTAGAATTCCGTAAGAACATATGATTTTAGTGTATTTTGTGTAAGATTATCTAATCGCCCATACGACCTAATATAGTTCATACATTCATTGGTTGGATCGTTAGGTTCCGATGGACATGGAGCAAAGTAGTCTGAAATTATTAATTATATGTTCCTACGAAGGTGAGCATCATGTAATTCGTTTAGAAGAGGGCACCACGCTGGAGGATCTTTACCGGAATATATCGAAAAGATGGAATAAAGTGAGTATTGAGGCGGTAAAACTCCAATATATTGCACCTATTCAGAAAAGCTACGTGACGTTACTGTGTGACGATGATGTCGCTAATATGTGGAGAATGCATATCTTGTTAAAGGTAATGTTTGTGGATATGATTGCACGGTGTAGAAGCGAGCACCAGAGCGTGCCTCTCCGAAGCACGGTTGGACGCAGGTACGTTACTCATCATTTGTAATTAAGTAGTCTTTATTAAACTTTGTTATAGAATGCAGTCACAATTGTTCCTTATGAAAGAATGCAGTCTGTAAGCACTTATAATGCAGTATGTAAGAATGCAGTCTGTAAGCACTTATAATGTCATGTTCAACACATCTAAAAACATATTGTTTATAGGTTACGTTAGTAATAATTCTTTCATGATATTGGCATACAACAATACCGTGGTATATTGTTGCGATGTTGTTTGTAGGTAGTAAGTATCTACCTCCGCGATTTTGTAGTAGCGCGGTGCAGAACGAACCACTGAAGAGATTGTAAAGATATGTAGTGGGGATATAACGTCTTGAAGGTATTTAACGATTTTCACTCCTTCTTTACACGCCACTGTCAATATCCTCTAGCAATCCGGTTTAGGTAGGTGTACCATGATCGATGCGTTGAAATTTCTGTAGCCCATGGCATTTACTGCATCACGTAGCCTGCTGCGGTGAATAGATGCAGTTGTTCTTTTAAATACCCTGGATGACACGGTAGGTAACCATAGACACCGTGGACATACTCGGTTGAGTAAGATGGGTACCCATGTTTTTCTATTTACGAAGAAAATATCTATTACCATATAAAATTAGAACTACTTACATCTGATATAATTTTCATTCTTATTATTGTATTTTTAATGTAGGGGTGAGGCCGAATGTTCGGGATTGAACGAAGATTGCATAGATGGTATCTTTATTCCCGACGAAAGTACTAGTCTAATTGCAATGCAGAGATGCATTGTCGGGGAAGGTCAGACATTCAAGGGACCGCAGGAGTTTAGAAAGTTACTGAAGAATTATTCTATTGCCACTCAGAAACACTTCAGGTACCGAAAGAATGATTCGAGCAAAATTATTGCGGTGTGCATCGACAAAGGCTGTGGTTGGCGTATTTATGCATCCTTCCATGCTCGTGATGCATCATTCAACATTCGTAAGTGCAATTTACATCACACATGTACTATGAGTCTATTGCAATCAAGAGATCATCCAGCAGCCGATGCGAACTGGATTTCTGAGGTCTACAAAGATAAGATACGTTCTATGCCAGCGTATAAGGCATCCGACATCCGGGAGCATATCCAAACAGATTATGGGATTGACGTGAAATATCATAAAGCATGGCGTGGCAAGGAGAATGCGATAAGGGCAATTAATGGTGGAGGTAGAGACAGTTTCTCACAACTTCCGTGGTACTGTCATGCACTTCGGGAGTCAAATCCGGGAAGTATTATAGACTGCAAAGTTGAGCAGGCAACCAAACGTTTCCAGCGCCTTTTTGTTTGTTTAGGTGCATGCCGGCTGGGTTTTTTGAGGGGTTGCAGGCCCCTACTCTTTCTTGATGGGACACATATAAAAAAAAAACACAAAGGGTGTCTGCTAAGTGCAATTGCAGTGGATGGGGATGATGGGATGTTTACTTTAGCATTTTCTGGTATGTAATTTGATATTAGCTACAGTTGTCATTTTGTTAGAATGCTGGGTATAGCTGTTCGTGTATGCTGTTTTCCATGCTCTCTTTAGGCACGTATGTACCCTTATACGTTGGAAACCTTTGTAGTTATTTGTGTTCTTATTTGTTGACTTGCAGCTGTGTCTACGGAAAATAATGAAAATTGGGAGTGGTTTTGCTGGAAGCTGCGATCTGTTTTAGAATGTGAGGGACGTACTCATTGGAAACAGTACACATTCTTCTCGGATCGGCACTCGGGTTTACTAAAGTCAATCTCGTGCGTCTTTCCCGGAGCACATCATGTGTACTGTCTCCGACACTTAGTGGACAACTTCCGTACCCAGGTATATGTACGTCAATATTAATTTGTAATGAACATCACTGGTTATGATCAGCCTAAAAATGTCTTTTTTTTAGGTTATGCGGAGATACCCAATGCATAATAAGAAACGATGGACCGTTGTTTTCAATAAGGCCGTCTATGCTCCGTTGAGGAGAGATTTCGAAAACCACATTAGTTCTGTGGTCGAATCAATGCCATTGGCCAGGGACTTCATTACCCAATCACACCCAGAATGTTGGGCAAATTCACTATTCAGAGGCACTCGTTGGGGAATAATAAATAATAACATTGCTGAGTCATGGAATAGTTGGGTGAGATCCGTGAGGTCAATGCCATTCGTTGGGATGTTGGATACCATTAGAAGGCAAGTGATGGTAATGATGAATGAACGCCGCGAAAAGTCGGAGATAATGCACGGAAGGCTCTGTCCAAAACAGGAGAGCAAGTTGGCACTATCGTACATGGCGTCTCGACAGCTACAATGCAGTTCATCCTCTAGAACTGTATTCGAGGTAACAGATTGTAATGAAAGATACGCAGTCGATTTGGAGGCGCGCAAATGCTCTTGTCGAGAATGGCAAATGTTCAGATTGCCCTGCAAGCATGCCTGCGCTTGCATTGAAAAATGCAGTATGTCAATTTATGATTTTTGCGATCTTTACTATAGCATTGAATGCTACAGAAAAACGTACCAGGAACCAATAAATCCCGTACCGACGCATGATATGGACGTGATTGTTGAAATTCAGGCGGACCAAATTCACCCTCCTCCGTCGTCTGTCCAACCAGGCCGGCCAAAGAAGCGAAGGTTCGAGTCCCAGCAGGTAAAGAATCCACGAAAATATGGTCGTTGTGGGCGTCTTGGACATAATAGAAGAAGTTGCAAGCAACAAATAGATTAGCGAACCTTTTTTTCATTGTACATCTTTTTGGCTTCCAGGAGTATATATTAAGACAGTAGGTATGTATTCAATAGCTATATTGTAATTGTTTTTTGTGTCTCTTGGATGTAACCGGTTGGATCCACCGACTTATTTGCAGTAGTAAATGGTATGTAGCCCTCTCACGCAGGTATATGATGAAGTTGTGAAGGTTCATAGTTATATTCTGCAGGTATATTTTTCATGTACTGAGGCATTTGATGATGTAGCTCTGTAGGGACGAATGGTTAATGTAATATTTAATTGTTTTGAAAGTACATGCTATCCTATTTTTGGGTTATTACTAGGAGGTATAGGTGTTGTATTAAACTCGTCATACTAACCAAGTGCATATGTCATACAACTTAAGTATTTGTTGATGCCTTCTTTAACCATCAGCAGTAAATACATGCTATTTGAAGTAAAAAAAAAAAAAGACCGTTTCCCCAGCCACAAGTAACCAGGGCATACATAATTGCAACTGAAGTATAATGTCACGGTTGTTGTAAGTACGCAATAGCTTACAGAGGGTATATGAATAATTATTCCAACAAATAGGGTTACGGTCCGAGTACAAACCATATTTTATTTTGTTTATACGGTATTTAAATTGTATTACCGTGTAATAACTTGAAGGCGTAGTATTGATTAAATTTCAGCACACTGCTACGTACCAGACTTCCATATGCCACACAACTATATTGTGGTTATATTATCGTGTCTATTCTATTGTGTTCTAATTCAATTAAAGGGTAAGCGATGTAAGTTTTATCTGTTGCCTAAAACACGCCATTCAAGATTATGGGGTTGACGAGAAACACTACCATGGTTAAGCCAATACACTCTTACCATCATTTCGTGAATATTTTAAGAGAAAAGGCCGAGTCCCCACCCGTAGGGTACCAGAGCATTTGAAATGGTAACGGAAGTATAAAGTCTATTTCCGTAGGTACATAATAGATACTATAGGGTATTTTTAGTAACGACTCCGTTACTTATGCATCTGAGCTGAGTACCGGACTCGCTGAACGAGGTACACAGATTGCGTATGCGGGTATCTGTGTTGTAGTTGTAGGTATCCTAGTTGTAGGTATAGTAGCACTTATCTGTAACCACGTGTTGCTTAGCATTCCGCAGGAAATAGTTGATTGTAATCTAGACATTGGCCCACACGCAATTACCAGACACCTATGTCCCGCACAAATATTTTGTTGTAATATTATCATATTTTTTTAGTACTGTTTGTTTTAAATTAACGAGTAAGCCCTTGCAGTTTCTCCAGTCGATTAAAACATGGCGTCCAGTAAGGTTTTATGAGAAACGCCGACACGGTTGAACTGATTCAAAGTGAACGCTATTTCAGTGATCAGTGCAAAAGAAATGACCAGTCCCACAAACGCAAGTGACTGGAGCATGTAATATATAAATGGAAGTACATACTAGTTTTCCGTAGGCACATAAAAGCTATCAACGGGTATCACCACACAACGCAGGTAGATAATGAAGATGACAAATCAATCCACATAAAAGACATTTACCAATTCCATCACCTCGATACACAATGCAACAACTTCCCAGATCAATCCAAATTGAAGACATTAAACAAATCCATCACCTCCACACAACACAATAACTTCCCAGATCAATCCGAACTGAAGACATTCAACAAATCCATCACCTCGCCACACAACGCAAAAACTTCCCAAATCAATCCAAATTCATTACATGTGTTAACCTGCCCTATTTTTCCATCGGGGTCTACGTTTCAGAAGGGGGGACCTTTCAATATCCTCGCCGCAATCGTGCCTCGGTAGCTCTTAACATCGCCGAAGTCCTCGCCGAGGACGCCCACGACATTGACATCTGGACCTGCCCGCGCATAACACTCTGCGAACATGCAGACTAAAGGTCCACAGTCCAACGTTTCACCCTGGTGTCGGCATCTAATGTACTCGGGCGTGTCGCTGACCATAGGCCATAGTCGTGACGCGTTCATGTACAACGATAAAAATCGCGTCTGCACAAATAACGTTACTCTTTCGTTAAGGAATTCACCCTACCCATAGGCAATTAATTATGATCATTCGAAAGACGTACCAATATCTTTGCATTCCCCTGGCCAAAGGGGTCGCGCATTGAGTTACACTCCAACACAACACGTTTGACGGTATCCAGTATGCAGAGATGCCAGTGGAACCGGGTGTGTACGGGTAGAAATATGTACCGGCACCCAGACCGGATTTTGTCCATGATTCCGGCAATCTCTTGGCCTACGGTCACTTGCAGCGAGTTGGCAAACGCGAGCACATTACCTTTATTGATGCTTGGCTTTTTCGCTCCCCTGCTTGGTCGTGATAGCGCGTCGTTCACGGCTTTCTGAAAATCGAACACAACAACCAACGCAATAATAACAATGTGATTTGTAATACTAACCTTATAAATTCCAAATAGGATACTCACCGATACGAACCATGGCACACAACCACACCGCACCTGCGGATTGTGTTGGAGCTGATATTCATTGCTGCATAGATGATATAGGTACGCGTCGATGACTTCGCCTTTCACAGCTTCGTCAAACAGTAGTTCTAAAACGGCATCGGACGAGACAAACACGACGCCCTGCTGCCAAACAGTGTCCCTACAAGATGATAGTCGCAAACGGATAAAAACATCGATTGAGAAAAATATATAAAGCCTTAATAGTGAATAGCAATACCGGACGGCGAATGACGCGAGAAAATGTTCAATGGTGTTCGTCTCATCCTCAGATAAGGTACCCTTTCCACAGTAGCTGTCGTTATTGCGATATCCCTCCCACTTTTGTGCTCCAGGGTCTGCTACAACCTTAGCATCCGAGTCCCCATCGTCGCTGACGAAAAATGGTTCCTGAACCAACAATGAAGATAATCATGTTTCCGTAGGTATCTGTATTTATTGTACAGGTATTGACTCAGAAACACTAGGTATTTAAGAATCTATCCGAAGTATTTTGAGCCAGACGACTTATATTTGTATGGAACTACGTACCTGCTCATTATTGACGTCGACCGCTGACTTTCCTTTCGCCCTCCGTGTTTTTCTCGCTTTCTCAATTCGCGGTGTCGACACAGATGTCACGAATTCAGGCTTTTTCTTTCTCTTCCGATCCTTACGTGCCATTACACCACGTACAATCGATGAATCTGCGGCCCTGCTACAAGTCTCACGGTCGGACTCATCGGCCTGCTACAATTTCAACAAAGCAAATAATCATTCAACAGATAGACAACTACGACCTACAAATTGTACTTACTATATTAATTAGCTTACCTTGACATCTATCGGTGCAATATAAGGAACAATGGCCATCAATTGGTTAAACTCTAGCAGGCTACCAACCCCTTCGTCATCTGACTCATTTATCGGATCAACTTCGGCCAAAAGGATGTCCATTTTTTTTTTGCTTCATCGCTCCGTATTCGCTCGCTCTTCCGCTGCCTCCTCGGAATCCTCCTCAGTCTGACTCTCCTCCTCCCCAGTTTTTTTCTCCTCCTCCTCCTCCTCCTAACCCTGACTCTCCTCCTCCTGACCCTGTTTCTCCTCCATGTCGGCCTGCTTCTCTTTCCTCTCTGACTCCACAGCCATCCGGTCTGCTGTCTCCTCATCCCCATAGTTTGCATCACCCTCCTCGCCATCGCTCTCGTCCTCACCCTCACCTTCACTGTCGTCATCGACAACACCGGCTCTAGATCTTTGCAATTTATGAGCAAGTCTGGCAATTGCAGTGTCTTTTTTCCGCAGCTCCACCTTCAATGCCGCAATTTGCTAAGCTGCTTCCTGCAACATATGTTAATAATGTCATATAAGAAATTATTTTATCCATTTACAATGGTAGCAACATTGAATAATGCATTTACCTCTGAAGCATGGCAAATTGCACGGACAAACTTTTCTTCCGTGCCTATCCGATAGAATTCCTGAATATCTGACCGCTTTAGGGATGTCAATTCACCAACTGCATGAACCCTGGACATTGGACCGAGGCTATTCAGCCACCGAAAGAGACGCGGTACCTTCGGAAGGCACCGTGCCTTGTCCAGAGTTAGGACCCTCTCATTGAACCAAGCCTGCACATATTGTAATAGACATTACTACCAACAATAATACATATTGTGCAATATACCAAAATAAGTAGAAAAAATTAACAAATCCGATATTACATTGCTTACCAACAAACCCGCGGTGCAACTTGTCAAATATTTTTTCCCGGACTTGAAGTCGCTTATAGACTTCAACAGATAACGGTGACTCGCGGGTCCCCACGCGTAGTCACCAATCGCACTCAGGTCTTCCACATACGGTAACAAAAAAAAGGGGTACAGAATAATTCGCAGAACAAAATAAAATATTTGCAAAAACAAGCAAAATAAAGAGACAAGCAACGTCTGCAACAGAAAGAGGCTCCAGCCCCTGCAACAGAGCCTCACGCAGCTTCTGCAACACCTGGCCGCAGGTTACAGAACGTGGCTTGCTCCCAAAAATCCGAACAAACCATTCGCTTTCGACCGATGTGTTTTCGGTCACGTAGACTCCTTTCGCATTTAGACCTAATACTACAGAATATTCTTCAACTTCAAACGGAAGCTCAATGTCACTTGCAATCTTGAAGGACATAGATTCCGAACTAAAGCTATTGACGAGGGCAACAAGTCGGTGCCACGGAAACTTCATTTTCGGGCAATCCTTTAAATGCCCAAACGGTGTCATTTTTATAGCTGTGATGTGTTCGTCTGTCATGTGTTGCTTCAGTTTGCCCAGCTCATTATGAAAAAATGGTAATGCAAATCGGCTAATTACCGATTTGTGCTCTTTCCCTGGCCTGTAAGTAAAAACCATAAGTCCACGTTATCCAAATCTCTAATTTAGTTAAAAGTTTTTCACAATTTATCAGGAGTAAAAACGCATTCCGAGTATACAATAGTGCCATTCAGGTATATTAATTGGCAAATTAGACCAAACAAATGAAACTCCTAGTGCCTAATAATACCGCATTTGTCAACCCACAAATATGACTAATTACTGAACAATCCACAAAAAAACCTAAAATATGCAACTTCGAGTA